TGTAGTGTTAAAAGCCAGAAATGGTGAAACCTGTTCCGCAAACATTGATCAAATAAAGCCCTACTTCGATCGTAATAAAATGAAAATCTTTTCAGATCTTTTGCAGGATCTGGGACGGCAGACACCGCAGGTACAAGTTCCAGAGGTGGAAAAACGACAAGTACAAGGGCAAGCCAATGAGAGACAGAAGCAAGTGAAAAGAAAATTGCCCCGCGGAAAAATTGAAGGTAAAAAGAAAAAGAAGCCGTTCCACCGTCCAGAAAACAGAGTTCACGAACACCCCCAGAATGAAGAAGGGAGAAGGACGACGTATGTGAAGAGACCAGGAGAAATGACGGCAACTATAACCCGGCTTTAAAACGGAAGATCTACTCATCCGACAGAACTCTCCGCAGCAAAAGTCGCCGAACTGCGGAAGGGCCATCAGCGGCGGAGGAAAAAGTACAAGAAAAATTTGAACGGCCAACAACGAGGTCCAAGCAGGATCACGACAGAAGTTTCCCGGTTCCACCAAGACCAGCTGCCTTCAAACGGCCAAGACCACAAGCAGAGGACAAAAGGAAGGTGTTCAAGGGTGGCCGTACTGGTGAAAAACGGAAGCTTCCAGAGGAAAGCACTGAAGGGCGAGCCCGTACAAGAAGGAGGATAAACCAAGCTACTATCTGCATACCTTTAAAGACTGGGCCCAGAAAAGGATGTCCGAATATTACAAAGATAAGTAAAATTTTATGTTACTTTGCAAACTTAAGTTAATCTTTCATTCTTACTGCAAGTGGCAGATTTCAAGAAGTTTTACCTCATGCGAGGTCTACCTTTATCGCCAAAAGGGCGAGAAATGAGTTGTGACCGATTTTCTTATATATGTTTTTCAATTACTCGCGCGTAAAACTAAAGTTGATGTATAATAGCGTTGTGTAAAGACTTAAATATTGTAAAAAGTTATTGTATAAATTTTATTTAAAACATTCTAGCAAGAAAGAAGTTTTAGTCTGAAAGACTTTTTGAAATGTAGTATTATTTCAATGTAGAAAGAATTGGCACTTGCTTTGAAAAGAATAGAAGTTAACAATGTACTACTAATGTATGTGTTTTCAAATGTGTAAAATTAACGGCATGTTGATATGTTCTTATATACATGTGAACTGTTATTTTAAATGTTAAGAAATACCGTGATATGGTAAAAGTGAAAGTAATGTTAAAAATTTGTTATTCGTGTGACTGTAAAGATTAAATCATGGTGAATATGTGTTAAAGGTTGAATGATGTAGTTAGGCTCTCTGACGCTACACTTTAGAGTTAGCCACTTTCAGAATAGTACCTCAGGGTTTAGAGTTGAAATTAGGGTGTGTTAAGAGGTCTTCGTTATGTTGAATTTTAACACGTTAGTGTTTTGATTGTAGGAGGAAGTGTTGGAACACGTAGACAGAAACACATTCGTGTTTGGTGTTCTTTTACAACACATGTCAGAGAGCACGGGGAGAGATAATTAAAATAGTCATGAATGAAATAAGAATGTTAAGAGAAGTATAATTCTATATGTTACTTGCCATGTCATTGTGTAACATTTCATTAAACTAGTTTTCCTTCCAGATCTCTGGAAGGAACCAGAATTGAATAAAAGCTCCTGTTTAGATGCAGTACAGATGAAAAAAAAGATTGTTGTATATCCTGGGAGCTGCTATTGTAAAAACAAATTTCTTTCTTTTAAAATTTCTAGTTTCTAGCTAAGTTATGTTTGTAAAAGATTGGCCTCGCGTTAGATTCTAGAGCTAAAAGTTTTCAACAAGGTCGTTTTAGACCTCAGTTTCAAACTAATTAACTCTGGCGGGAAGTATGTAAGGATCTTAAGTTTTACTAACGTTTATTTTATTTTAAATCTTTACTATCACTTCTTATTTTCTACTTCCGGCCAGAATTATAAGCGTGAAAGGTTTTTATGCAAAGTTTGTCTGGCGAACGCCAAGTATTTAAGTGTGGCCTTTTTGCCAAGCGAGAGAGAGGAAGCAGTGAGTTCGAAGCAGGCCGCTTACCTTAGAAGTTACGCAGTTGCTGTTGCCTTCCAGGCCAGAGGTTTTAATCCTCTTGATAAATTAAACGTATTGTAGTGTTCACAGTCTCTGTGCTACATACGCTTCCTGTTATTATAAGGCCAATCTTCCACGTTGTATTATTCTAAAGTTAAATTAGAGTTTAGTTTTATTTTTATACTTTTTTTACGTTAGACCCCGAGTGGAGGGTCAGTGTATTCCGAAGTACGGAAGTTATTGTATATAGAGAAAAATAAAGGGTTTTGTATACCCTTCGTCTGTATCCTGTCTACTTACCTCAATTAGTGAACATAGCTTTAGTAAGCTCTCTGTTCCGAGTCAGGTCCTTGCATGTTCCCGAAGAAGGTTAGAAGGAACATTGAACCTGATAATATTATCCATGAAATCAAGATTTACAAGACCACATAATCTATAATAACATACTTGCTATATACATTCTTTTGCAAAAAAATCGAAGCACCATGAAAGAAGTGATTGTTTTTGATGAAATTGAATATGTGTATAGCTGACACACAGATAATAAAATGATTAAAAAATTAAGGTACCTGCCCACGGCTCACAATCACCCATTAAGTGTTCAAATTAGTATTTGGTGGAACCGCCTCTGGCGGCAATGCATGCTTGAATTCGTCGATGCAAGGAGGGGTAGAGGTTCCTAATATCATCCTGCGACACATTCTGCCAGGCATTCATCAGTTGTAACTCCAGATCTGCGATATTTTGTGGTGCCCGAATTTGGTGGCCTACCATATCCCAGACATGCTCGATTGGCGAAAGGTCTGGTGATCTTGCTGGGCAAGGAAGAATATCAACGGCACGGAGACAGTCCGGAGATATGCGAGCGGTATGTGGCCTGGAATTATCTTGTTGGAAAATGGCCCCAGGATGGCGTGCCATGAAGGTAATGCAACCTACCGCAGGATGGTATCAACATATCGTTGAGCTGTTAAAGATGTACGGAGGATGACTGGAGATGAGCTGCTGGCATAAGAAATAGCACCCCACACCATCACACCATGAGTTATGGCTGTAATGCCTTTGTAAAACAAAGGCTGATTGGGACCGCTGTCCCCGTCCTCTCCAGACACGAACGCGATGGTCATCTGCTTCAAGAGAGAAGCGGAATTCATCGCTGAACACTATACTATGCCAATCTGATGGCAGTCATGATGATCGGCTGCGACACCACTCCAGACGACTCCGCCGATGTTGCGGGCTCAAAGGCAAACGTTTTAATGGCCTCTGTGAGCGTAACCCCGCCTCAGCAAGCGCCGTAAGATAGTGGACGGTACTACGGGAGGTATAGACGTGGCTGTACTGCGTTGAATAGTCGACAATGATACCGTTGGGGCGGTTCGGGCCTGGCGAACAACCATCCTATTTTGCCTCGCATTTGTGCTCTTTGACATCTTCATTTCGTCGGCAATTTCCTTGTAGCAAACATTGCTGCCAATATCTTTGCACAGCAGTGTCTGTACGCTGCAGGTGGTGGCCTATTGCTCGGTATGACCACCCAGCTTCACGCAACCCTACAATCCGACCATGTTCGATGTCGTTTAGTTGTCTGTAAGATCTTCGATATCATCATAATGGCATCTTCAGTTGCTTCTTTACGGAATTACAATGGCAGCAACAAAAAAGATAAATTTTCCGCCTCTGTTACTAGTTTTATACTTTCGAATTGTACATTAGAAATGCGCGCTATGATCGCAATTCCTGTTCGTTTGCCTTGAAACTTTGATCTTTTGCATGTTCGATCAAGATGTTTTCGGATACCAAATTTCGTCACGATCGCAAAAGTCCTTCTTGGAGCTCCGATTTTTTTGGAAAAGAGTGTATTTTAAAAAGCAGCATTTTTTATATATTTTAAATCTTTTTGGAGAGTGTTTATCTGTTTTAATGATAAATAAGCATTCTAATTTACGCACCCCTTGCATGAATATATACGCTTCGCATTTCTTCCTGTGATAAGATAGAGAAGATTTAGCTTTCAAAATTTAAACAGTATACATATTTTATATTAATCATAATTCAAGAAGCTTATACACAGATGCTGCTTAGTACTGATTAGTATACTGAGTGGATTAAATATTTATTATTCAGCCTGATGCCAAGTGCAAGATTAATTAAAAGCATGATCATTCATAAAGATTTGAAATTCTGTTTTATGCACTAAATATTGTTCACGTTGGCTTTTATTATCAAAAGCAACTTAACTGAAAAACCACATCCCTAATAAACCGTTTAAAAGTTTTGGAAGATATTTTACTTCTATTCAAATATTTATTCGAAATTCCAAATTAACACATTTTTAACCTATTATGAAGAAATATAAGAGGTATTAAAAATACAGATCTTTCTTCATAAATATTCAAGTACTTCTAATGATAATTTGGTGCAATTTGACGCAGTTAAAAAAGGGCTTTCAGAAACATATGTATGCAATATCAAATTAAATGCACTTTGTATCAAACAATTATAGTGCGCAGTACGGAATGAAAGTTGTTTAGAGTTTAAACTTCTCATTGATAACAACTATGAACAGCTCTTTCTATAGCTAAAATTTAAGAAATTTGGCCTTTTGAATTCCCTCCCAAAGACTGTTTGACCTCAATGAATTGATTACGTCTTTCGACATATTAAAATTATTTGCATCAGAACTAACTACAATCGCTTCTTTTTAAAAGACACGTTTTTTTTTTCTGAAGAGTATTCGTTGTCCACAGTATATTGAAGGTAATGTCCATATTTGCATTTTAATGAGATAATCCATATTCATTTTTCCCTAGTTCACTCAGTTAAACTTATAGTTAATACGAAAATAGTTTGTCTACTAAAGAAGAAGGTTTCAAAAAATAAAATTTTTGTAAGTTTTTCTTTTTTCTTTCTTTTTTTTTTTTTTTTTTTCATCGAAAACCATAATGCCTTATTCATTTTAAATGCCATCCTCAGCTTCTTGCGATGTGACCATCACTGAGGAACGTTCCGTCATCCATAGTCCAGGTTATCCTGATGATTATCCAGCCGATGCCCTCTGCGTCTACACGATCAAGAGATTGGACAGAGGGGTGTGTCAAGTGCAGGTCGAATTTCTAGATTTTGATGTGGAGGATGAGCCAGACTGCAGTTCAGATTTTTTTCAGTTGCAAAAGAACGGTGATAGGTACTGTGGCACACGTGCTCCACCTACTTCAGGTAAGAGAGTCAAACTGTATCTCAGTATAATGAATATTTTGCATACAAATTTTTAAATAATTTTAAGATAAAACATGATATATGTATATGTTAATTAGATCTACTATAAATTAAACAATCTCATAATAATGCAATTTTAAGTTTTTCTTAGGGAAATTTTGTATCATTCCAAAACACATGGATATTTTAAATGATATTGGTGCTTTTTCGTAGTGTTTGTTATTTTTTCCCTTTGAAAGATACTTTTTTATAAAACATTTGGTGATGAATGGGATAGTTATCAAGCAGTTAAGAGGTATCTCTAATACTATTATACAGACAGCTGGTCATCATGTAACCTAGGCTATAGTGGAATCAGAACTGCCATGAAATAGCCAGGTAGCAAAAAATAGGTTGGACAGTGCTATGCAGATACCCAATATCATCTTATCTTATGCAGTTTAAAAAAAATGAAGGAAAAGCATGAAGAGTTTGACGGAAGAAACGAAAGTAATCCTGGTTATCATATGCATCAAATATCATATTTTCAAGAAGGCAAATCTCAGAGTATGTTTGGAAAGCATCCGGTATTTATAATGACCTTCCATTGATTATACTAAAAAGGACTGCAGAATCTCAAGCAATAAAATGAAAATTGTTAGTATTGTTGCAAAATTTGCCACCGTATCTTGTTGTAGTAGTTATTAAACAGCAATTTTCTGCAGCAAATTGCATTTTGAGAGAAATAAAGTTATTTTTGATATGCCTAACTATTAATTCTATGGCATAGATATAATAATGTTAAGGTTTAATGAGAAATTTTAAGGTTATTTGGATTTGGTTTATGGCAAAACACTTTATATATCTAACCAAGGTTATACGCCTAACCCAACGGGGTAAGATTAACCCTGATGATAGCTAACAGTTGTGTAATGAAAAACATCTATCCTATGAGTCATTAATGGCGGAGATGATTTTTCTTAATACATGGCAAAGAGCTATTATTATTTTTATTCCCACGCCTGAAAAGAACTGAAGCGCTCTGTCACCTCAATTAGTGGGCATTGTAAAAGACTAGAAAAAATGAAAAATTCTATAGGCTTGAAAACTATTGGCGGAAAATGGGAATAGGTGACCATTTTAAATATAAAACAATTTTCGAAAAGGAAGGTAATCCAGAATGCATTTCTTAAGAGTAATCACCTCGTCCTCACTTTTCTTTGGTATGGAGGAAATATATAACAAAACATAAAAATATGATAATCTGCAAAATTTTTTATAATGTAAACTTATGCCGAAAATTACTAATTTTTATGCAAAATGTTTTTGAAAGATACATTCTTCGCTTTCCGATGTTTCCGTTGAAGAATAGTGTGTACTGCACGCCTGCATACTGAGTACCACACACTTTTAGCATTAAAAATTAACTTCATTTTAAAAGAACATTTTTCAACAATAAGAAAGGAGGAGTAATCTTCAACAGAGAGGATAACTGCATTTGGATGATGTGTTGATTTGCTGCTAAGGCGCAAACACGAGTTTCATGCAGACATCTGTATATTTCTCTAAACCTACTTACTAACTGGTCAATTTTCAAAGTAGAAGACACTAAGCGTTCATTTTTGTCGCAAGAAAGCATCCTGATTTGGAATTCTATTTACAGAACACATTAATTCAAGCTTTTCTCAGAAGCTTAATTCCTTGGAATGATATTCGATTGTTAGCTACTTACATTTTAGGAAAAACTGTTTGTAAAGATTAAATCTATTAAAATTCTTGTGGAATACTTATGGGGAACCATACATGTTCAATTTTGCATATCTGTAATAGATCTCTCGTTAAATCAAAACTCGATTACTCAATAATCATCTATGGATCGGTACGTTTTCTGTCATGACAAAGCTTGCTTCTGTTCATAATATAAGATTTGTTTCATAAGGATTTGTTTCGATGGCTCTAAGGATTTGTTTCAAAGCTTTCAGAACATCTCTAGTATAAAGCTTTTCTGCTGAATGTTTTAAATCTTCTTTGAGGTTAAACTTCCCATCCTGCTAGAGATCTTATGCTTGACGATCAGCTGTTCTATAATAACCATCCCTTATGCATACTCGGCATCAGTTTAAAGGCTGAGTTTCTACATAATGCATACGATTTGCAGTATCTGGTACTTCACACAGAAAACCGATTTAAAATATGGCAATGGGCGGCTGCAAGAGATTAGTTTCGAACTGTATTTAACAGCTTAAAAAACTGCATCAATGATATAAATAGTGTCCCTTTTGATGAACATCGACTTGTGTAACGTTTATACGCCAGTTCATATTGATGGGTCAAAATTATCTAACCATATCAAATGAGCCATTGTTTTTAAACAATAAAACTATCAATTTCCTAAATATTTTTCTGTGCTCACGACCAAAATCACTGGTATTAATCTTGCTCTTTTCTTCATAGTTAAAGAGAAAGGAACAAAATTCATCTTCTGTCCAGACTAATTAAATGTTTCGAAAACAATGTCAATTCCTTACGATAATAATTCTGCAGTTAAGAAAGTTCTGAAGCATGATAGGTCCAACGTATATTGTTATTACAGGAAATACAAAGCTGCAGATTATTACTGCAGCTAAAACTGTTGATGAAATTCATTACCGATCCTTTTCCTTTATCGGCATCCACTATTCCATCAGACAGAAGGCCCTGAATAAATGACATCAGTATACTGAGAAAGACGAAATTCAAGTAGAAAAACAAGTCTAAAACTCAGACAAAAATCACAAAGAATGATGTCATTTGAACTCTGCTCCGGATCGATCATCTAGACTCCCACATCAGCATCTGCTAAAAGAAGGATGCACCAATCTGTAACTACTGCAAGCTTCCTTTGTCAGAGCTTTATTTTCTAATATATTATTAATTCTTTGATAGTCTTCGTCTTCCCTATTTTATATTTTTTAACGTCACCTTAGAAGAGGTACTTGAAAATAATGCGCATCACAATATTTTCGCAAATAAATTAGATTTTAAGATTTCATTTTAATTGTATACTGAAAATTACATGTATTTTATTATAATTTATAATGTTTTATTGAGGGCGTAGTTCAGCATTTAATATAACTTTTATTGATTAATTACAAACCCCACAAATATTTGCTTTTATGATGAAACTATTTTTAACCTATTTTCTATAACCACCGAAGCCATATAGCACCTTGCTTTTATGAGTTTTCATCCTATTTCCATACTATTTATTTTCGTTTTAAATGGATAATTTTATTCAGTTTTTAGTAGTCAAAGTGTCAATGTTTCACTTCCTTTTATTTAAGCAATATTCTGTTGTTAACGACCCGTATTCAAAAAGCTGTGGTGTATGAGGTGTTGGTTAGAAACGCTGCTTTTATAAGTCTGCCATTAGTTTATCAAAATATAAACTTCAAGGTTTTGTGCGACAAAAAGAGAACTATCGACTATCGTACACCATCAAATTTTTAAAGAAAACTGAAGAGATTTTTAAGAGAAAAGATTTTTAATACAACTGATTTTATTTTGCAGTGCTCTCATTCGAAGGAGATTTAGATGTGCTACGAATGGTATTCAGATCCGATTCTGTTAGCCACAGACGGGGTTTTGAAGCTCGAATTCGACAGTTGCGCAATTCCTGCTACAGGCCTATAGGTGAGTTTGAAATTCATCTAATAAAAGTAGAAAAATCTATTTTCTGAAACTATATAAAATAAAGCAAATGAAATAGAAGATGTCACTGCAGTTTTAATATTTAGAAAATGATTAAAAAAATTTTCAAAATTAGGGTTTAATTCTATAAAGTAGTTATAGTAACTGCTCAATAACATGCAAAATATTCATTATATATTAAATCATACCACAGCTCATCGCATTTTACAAATATGTTCTTCTGAAGTCTAGCTTTAGGGCTGTTGAAAAATCCCACAAACTATTTTTTTTTTTTTTTGTATCACCGTAGAGGGCGCTACTATTCTTATAAAAGAGTGTTTGTTTTCGTAAATAAAATGATTATTTTTGTAAAATGCTTTGAAGTATTGGCTTCTATTAGTAATAAGTATGATCAGCTCTCTGACTGGAAGTCAAAATATACTTTTTTTACCAAATTGGTGCATCTGCCGGGAAATACTGTTTGTACTTCGAATAAAAAATGGTAATGTAAAAGTGTTGCAAGCCTTTGGATTAAATATGTACTGCTACCTTTGGATACCTTTGGATTAAGGAGTTCCATGTAAGATTAATAACCTAGATAATTCAAGGTAAGATTTAATATTCTCCTTTGGTAAAGAAATGAATCTTTATATTTCAAATTACTTCCATTTTGATTGAACTGATGACTGAACAACTCTTATATTGCAAATTACTTCTATTCTTTATGTAATCAAAATCAGAAGAGAAATTTAGTTAAATAAGGATAAAGTTAATTTGAAAGAATTGTTAAAAATTGATTTCGAAATGGAAATCGCAAACAAGAAAATTAATTTCTAAACTCGAAACTAAAATTTTAGAAAATGAAACAGGAAAAGAGTTGGAAGAACTTTCAGAACAGATAAATCTGAAATTTAAACAGTTAAAAGAAATAGATTCTGAAATCCAATGTGTTACGAATGTTAAAGAAATCGAAACCGAAGTTATTAAATCTGATGAGTAGCATGAAAAATTGATTAATTGCTCATGTAAGTCAGAAGCTGCTATTACTAAATGTAAACTAAGTAACAAAGAACGTAACAACAACCTATTAGCTTGTTAAAATTAGGAAAACAATTCGTTGCGGATTATGGAAGGTTTCACTGAAACGCTCTGATTTTGAAAGCAAGGGAAATCTCTACTCTGCAGTAGAAAATACAAATTCGAAACACAGAGATACAATTAAGAAATTAATTAGAAAATTAATCAGAAGTACAATTAAGAAATTCAGTTCACGAATTTCAAACAAGAAAATAAAAAGAAAAAGGTGTATATTTACTGTTCGGAAACAGTAAATAACAAGCAAACTTTGTTACCTATCTTGAAGTAACCGTCTTTAAAGTAAAACTGCCATATAAATAGTCATTATTGAACTATCAGTATAAAATCGTCCCCATACGCTTATATTTCGACATTATCACCTAAGTCTGATGATAGGGCGGTATCCGCTACTATATTCTAGAGAATGGGTCCGAGATTTGAACCTTGGACGGATCCCTTCTGATACTTGTGATGTATATTGATGCCGTCTCTTTTATAAACTATTGATTTATCACTTAGATAACTGCCTATCATCTCGAATATGTTTCTTGGACATTGTAATCTTTTTCGTCTATCCAGGACACCTGGCCACCATAAATTGTTGAAGGCCGAGATCACGTCTAGCGAGATGACGCAGGTGTGAAGCCCCTCTCTTCTATTTCTGTCTATTTGTTTTATTAAAGCTTTCTAACGCGTCCACCGTGCTCTTATCTGGCAGGAAGCCATACTGCTTTATGTTTAGGGCTTGGGCGCTGATTAAGAGTACGTTAGTCTTTTTGCTAATAACTTATCTAGGATCTTACCCCATGCCGACAAAAGGCATATAGAGCGGTATACCCTGCCGTTGTTTCGTCTTCCCCTTCTTTCTGGAAGAGGAGTAGATTCCCTGTTTTCCATGCTTCCGGAAAGTATCCATTTTCTAGATATTTATTAAGGATTTTCTCAGAGAGTTCCTCATTGGCTAGCATTGCTTATTCTACTATCTCTATAGATAAATCATCATTACCTGGAGCTTTTCCCTTCTTTGTTGTTTTAATTATGGACCTTATTTCATCTATTGTGAATGGCCTTTCTTTCTCTGCATCCGGACTTTCCCTTGCCTCTTCTCTTATCGCCCTATGATCCTCTGTATCTGCGTCTTCCTCATCTTGGGGGAAGTGGAAGTTCACTATTTGTTGTAATGTGTCCTCTATTGTCTCTGTCCATTCGTTGGAACCTTTTTTAATTGTACTCAGTTTTAAAGGTTGATATAATAGCTCCCTTTAACTATATCGAAATTATGTCCCAAAAGGGAATTTATCTTTAAATTATTCCAAAAGTTATTCTACGACCTTTGTTTTGCTCTGAATATGTTCTTCTTATATAACACCTCTGCTCTTTTATATTTCGTCCTTTTTCCCTTCTCTCCTCATTATATGAGTGTTGGTAAGCCTGCCTTAATTTTCGTAAGTTCTTCCTTTCCTGCGTAAGGTGGTGATTCCACCAAGTATTTGAATTTCTGGACCCTGCTCTGTCTTTTTGATGCTTTGGGAGTAATGTCCTTAGATACGCACTTTTTATTTCTACTGAAATTTCTTTTATTGTCTCATTTATCTTATCGTTGTAAGGAATTTTGAACGAACGGCCGGAACAAAAAGGAAGACTGCAAGATGGGGACACTGCTATTGCAGTATTATAATAGGCGTTGGCAATACAAGTGTATAATAAGGCCTCGGTATAGATACAAATACAGGTGAAACCAGTACAAATATTTAAACATTACCCTCAAGCAAGAAAAATTTACAACATTACTTTACATCAGCGTTTCTTAAACTGTGGGCGCGACCACCAGAGGGGTCGCGGGACTTGCAGCAGGGGGGTCGCCAAAACCAAATATTTTTACACAATGTATCTGAAAATAGATAAAGATAAGACAATACAGACAACGCGGTTGGAACGAGACGGCTCCCGACCTAATGCAACCTCGATGGTGCCAAACAGGATTAATATCGCCTCGCCCGTGGATCAATGTCCATGTTGCGACCCCACAGAGCAAGGGCAGACAAGGCAGTACGAGTACGGTCCCTGCCGAGTTTCACTCTGTCCTGAGAGCCCTCAGGCCTTCTGTGAAGTCTGTTATTATGCCTCCGTGGTTGAGACTGTTTAGGTACAGATCCTAACCAGTACTTCCCAGGCATTCGTCTGAGTCAACCTCCGGAGAGGGAAGACAATACAGACAAAAAAAAAAAAAAAAAAAAAAAAAACGAAAACGTTTCGACGCATTTTTTTGTTAATATAAACGTTCATTTTCCTTGCTTTGCACATGACGCTGTCATTTCGTCTGTTACTTATTTAAACTTTACACATTGTTCTATGCCTTGAAATTAGAAATTAAAGTTAATGAGCTAAAACAGCAATAGTATAGTACAGTACAAGTGAAAAAAATTGACAGTTTCACTCACGCGTGTGTCGAATTTGCGCAATACTTATGGTGTCCCACAAAATTTTTGTAAATATTAGGGGGACCTGGAGGTCGCGAAAAAATCTCAGTGATAAAAAGGGATCGCGACTGAAAAAAGTTTAAGAAACCCTGGTTTACAGTAGCGTACAAGGAAAACCATCGATCGGATGGTTCGGTAAAACGATCGAAACTAGTGCTGTGAAAACTTGCAAATAAAACACTGATTTTCGCTGTTTGACTTCTAAATTAACTTTTAAGGATATATACAATGGTTATATACAGCTAAAGTTACTGCTTTACTAGTTACAAAACATTATAGTGTGGGTAGCAGGATCAATTGCTATGTCTTGTCTCCTTGTGATAGTGAGAGCAAGGGAGGTACAAGCCCTAAGCCGGATATTGTATGCCTGCTTTTGCAGGTATTAGTTGCCCATGCATGACCTCTAAGATGCCTTTTATGAGAACAGCAACAAATTTTGGTAAGAAACTAAACACTCTTCTGCCTGTAACTTCATCGTTCCTATCTAGTCGCTATTGATTAAAAAGAATTTGACGTGAGGAATATTTTAGATGAGAAGCTGCCAGTTTTATACTGAGAGTGATAACATTAATGTCTGTTGCCGTTAATTTGACTATCTGTTCAGCTGTGTTATAAGGTATTTCTCCAGCCTTCCTAGCATGCCTTCGTGGTGTAGTGGTTCTGCTCATTGGGCCGGTATTCCAGAGGTCCGTGGTTCGATTTCCGGCGAAGGCGTTCGCTCATCTTGCTTGCATCCAAAAATACCTAATGCATTTACAGTGTCATTGCCAAAGTTTCCAGTATGGGCAGCGCCCACTACAACTTCCGTCTGAGGTTACTAAGCAAACAGAGCATAAAGTTTCTAAATATGTCTCACGATAGGATTTAAGTGTCGATTTCCTTGAATTACCATCAGACTTGATGCAGAATCTGATTTAAATTTAATTGTGTAAGATTTGACTACGATCCTACTTTTTAATTTAAATTTGACTGTTATTTTATTTACATTGCCACAAGTGGTCGTCGATCCTGTTAGCCCAAGAAGCTTAGTTATGTTCAAAGCTTGTGTTTCAATAAAAAGGTTATTTTAAAACCTTTGCACTATAATTGCAGTGTTTCAAAGATTCGAGAGTTTTTTTTTAGGAAAAATATGTTTCAGTGAAATCATGCATATTTGTTAGTATTAATCATTCATACTTGTTACTAAGTGTCACAACTTATAAAATAAAAATATATTATTTTTCTAACTATATGTATAGTATTAGAAATATTCGTCACCTTTATCAAAGTTCGTGTTTCTCAAAAATATCTAGTCTTTAATTAAATAATAAAAATTAAATTCTTTTAAAATTATTTAAAATTTCTTCGGCAGATAGAGGCTTTCGTAAGCTAATTTGGAATATTTACTTTCGATTCGATATTTTTTAATTTAACAATTATTAATTTACTCCAAATCTCTAGGTATTTAAGGAAATATTTGCTGGTTTATACTGAAAATTATTTGCCCTCTCCTGAAAACCAAAGTTTCTCAAATGTTCTTATGTTCCGAAATTCACCAAACGTTTTAACTATACTCTGTATTTTAATTCGTAAGATTAGAAGATTTTCTGTCGATATTTGTTAATTTAACTGTTATTAATTTACTTCAAAATCATATTAATGATTTAATTTATTCGGTCAAATGACAAGATTTTTCATCTGTTGTCAATAATTTTAGATTCATAATTATTACACAATAATGTCTAAGAACTATAAATGCAATTATTAATAAACTGCTATTTTTCATAGAATAATATTTTCAACAAAATGAGCAAACAATGTACGCTATATAGAAACCAGATGGCAATTTTAAGAATAATAAGAGCATAACCTAGATGGTTTCTCTTAAACCTTTTTTCTTCATTCAGTACTTCATTTGATTACATAAAAGTAACGCCTGTTTGAGAAATTTTTGTTCAATTATCGGAAAGAATATTTCGAAGATGAAGCTATTTTGCATTATTTTAGAGTTATGAAGAATTACTGCTTGTTTGGTTTTAAGTTTTTACCTAATTTTTGTGCCATCTTTAGCAAGTGCGTTAAGAATAAAGAATTTTTAAAAAAATTTATTTATAAGCTGACAAGCTAAAGATGGGGACTTGGGTAAAAGTTGCATAAAAACAAGCTCTTTCAAAAACAGCTACCTCCGGATAAGTTCCAAAAGAATGAAAGTGCGGTACACCTCACGAAAACATTCAAATTCCTTATTTCCCACTGCATACAAAATTCATTCCCTTGTCGTTCTCATGTGAGTTCTTTGCATTTCTCTTTGCTTCCACTTACAGACTCTGCATGCAATAGTTTCTGTTTTTATTCATTCTATCATGTCCTTTATTTTTCTATGCTACAGAAATTGTTCTAGGAATAAAGAGAAATAGTTCAGAAAATGCCTAGACTGTGTGAGCTTCTTGGAAATCGAGTGGCAGCTAATGTAAACTGAATCTTGTTTAAAAATCATTACGAGAAAACTTTATATTGATATATGCATGTGCAACGCACAAAATTCGTATCAGCAGGTTCGACTTCAAGCATGCGCATCATAAACAGCCAGTGACAATTTTCCGTAAAAACCAACTAAGTTCCTCTTATGAGTGATAGCACTAAAGATATATTTCACTCTGAATTATTAATTCACTTAAATTATATGAGGCACCAAGTCTATGTATTCACTAAGGCGCCGAAAAGATTAGAACGGAGACTGCATACCAGACAAAATTCAGCCCATCATTAGATTCAGTTTTATGTAAATCGTTATTATAAATTTCAGCCTCAGATCTGGTTCGGTTTTATTTAAATTGTTTATGAATTCCGAAAACGCAGTGATTTGGGTTTCATTTCCCTAAGCAATTTTACTAATTATTTGTTAGAGTTTTAAACAGAAAAGAATAATCGCTACTATCTATACAAGTTAATGGAAAGCGATAAAAAAGGAAAACAAACAAAATAAAATATAAAATGTATGTTCTTTATTCGCTTAAAATTTGATGAATACGGATGACTTTAAAGAAATAACATTCTCTAAATAAAAAAAAAAATAAAAAAAAATAATAGAAAAATTAATAAAAGTATTCATGAAAAATTGTATTCTTTTCTTCGTTTTCCTTCACGGTTGTGGTCTTCTTTGATTATTTAAAGATGTCATTATTTAGCCAATATACGCAAATTAAACTATCCTCTTAAGGACTGTTTTGAATTCCTCGGCATTCCATAAGAGGTTATTTTAAGGACTAAATGCTCGTAATTTAAAAGGTTAAGCTCTTTTTAAACGTTTGAAACTAGTTTAAAGGATGTAGTACCAGCAGCAACAGCAGCTATCCAAATGTTTCATGCATTGTTTAGAAACTCGCTTTTCTTATTTGCAGTAGAACCCGAGTCCGTGGCAGAAAGAGAACACTTTCAGTTGACTTCGCTTTCAACTATTCAGATCTGTTTATATTTCAGTGTGAGTTTCATGCATACCTTATAAAGATGCTCATGGCCAGTTGGAAAAATTACGAGCGGCACA